ACCAGTTTATACCAGGAAATTTGGAGGTCAGCTGTCTGCCCAGTGGATTGGAAGAGGTCCATATTTGTTCCCATTACCAAAAAAAGTAATCCAAAAATGTGGAAACTACCAAACAGTATTATCATCATCATATGCAAGAAAAATACTGAAGATCATTCAAAAATGGCTAGAACGGTACCTATATAGGGAACTGCTAGAAGTTCAAGTAGGATTTAGAAGAGACAGTGACACCTGGGATATCATTGCTGATATCAGATGGATTCTGGCTGAAAGTAAAGAATACAGAAGAATATCTATTTGTGTTTTATTGACTCTGCAAAGGCATTTGACTGTGTGGATCATAACAAATTGTGGCAGACATTGAGAAGAATGGGAATCCCAGAGCTCTTAATTGTGCTCACCTGCAACCTATACCAGGACCAGGAGGCTGTATGTGAACAGAGCAGGGGAACACTACACTACATGGTTTAAATTTAGTAAGGGAGTGTGTCAGGGTTGTATTCTCTTTCCATACCTGTTCAATCTGTATGCTGATCAAATTATCCAAAAAGCTGGACTCTATGAAGAGGAGTGTGGGATCAGGACTGGAGGGAGACTCTCAATAACCTGTGTTATGCAGATAACACAACCTTGCTTGCTGAAAGTGAGGAGGACTTGAAGCATTTGTTCCAGAAGATCAAGGAATGCAGCTTTCGATAAGGATTGCACCTCAATGTCAAGAAAACAAAGATTCTTACAACTGGACTGATGATAGGCAACATTATGATTGATGGAGAGGACATGGACTTCAGATGGGTAGAATTTTCCAAGCATTCATATGTGTCTGTGAAAGTGTGTGTGTATGTGACTTAAGCTGCTGAGTTTCAGACATACACATCCAGTGCTAAGAATGCTCTGAGATCTCAGAGACCACCATGTGTCAGTACCCCAGAAAAGGACTGGAATACAGAGGGAAAAGGCCTGGCATTTACTAGTTATGTAACACTAGGGAGTAACTTCATCTCTCCCAATCTGTTTCTCTATCTGCAAAATTGAGATTAGCACCATTAACCTCAAGGATAATCCATAATAAAGCACCAAAACAATAGAGTTCAAGAAAGGTAAGTAGGATACATTCAACTCACACACAGACTTTCATTCAGTGAATATATATATATATATAATATTGAAAGACTGTTTGTTGTGTTTCTTTCTTCCACAATCCTTTGCTTTCTTCCTTTCCAGCCTGGTCCTGGTACCATGGCCCCCACAAAGAAGGATGGTGAGAAGAAGAAAGGCCATTCTGCTATCAACGAAGTCATGACCAGAGAGCACACCATCAACATTCACAAGCGCCGCCATGGAGTGAGATTTAAGAATCTTGGGCACTCAAGGAGATGGGAACATGAGATGTTGGCACTGACACCAGGCTTAACAAAGCCATCTGGAATAAGCAGTATCCCATTCTGAATCTGTGTACAATTGTCCAGAAAACATAATGAGGATGAAGATTCCCCAAACAAGCTGTAAACACTGGTTATCTATGTACCTGTCACCACTTTTAAAAATCTACACTGTCAATATGGATGAAAACTAATAGCTGATTATCAAATAAAGTCATAAAACTAAAACAAAAAAAAGAGACTAATGTGAAGATGCGCATTAGCACAATTAAATGTTCTGGGATTCCCATTCTTCTCAGTCAGCCACAGTTTGTTATGATCCACACAGTCAAATGCCTTTGCATAATCAATGAAACACAGATAGACATTCTTCTGGTATTCTCT